AGTAAAGAGGTGCTGGGTGGAGGGACAGCAAGATTCAAGGGAAGGGCGGGGGAATCCCAGCCAGTCAGCAGAGCACCATCCTAGATGCAAGAGAGGGCCGTAGAGGAAGAGCAAATGGATCCCCTGACCTCAGGCTTTGAGCCCAACACCACACCTGCCCACCCAGCCCAGCCCAGCCCCACAGACGAGTGACCTTCTCTCCTGGGTCTGCAAAACGGCACCCATGATCATTTCCTCTCTCCGGGGCGGCCGTGTTAGTTTCCTACGGCTGCTGTAACAGATAACCATGCACTTAGTGACTGAAAACACGAACTATTCTCACAGGAGTGGAAGTCAGAAGGCCATCACGGGCTTCGCAGGGCTACACTCGAGGTTTCAGCAGGGGCGGCTCCAGGAGAGAAGCCATCCTCCGTCTTTTCCAACCTCGGGAAGCCACCTGCATTCCTTCATCACAATCCCATCCTCCATTTCCAAAGCCCGCCGCGTGGCATCTTCCCACCTCTCTCTGACTCTGGCCTTCCTGCCTCCCTCTTGTCACCACCCCTGTGGTTACACTGGACCCACGGATAACCCAGGATCATCTCCCCATCTCAAAGTCGCTCACTTAATCACATCTGCTGAGTCCCTTTGCCACGCAGCATCACAGATTCGCAGGCGTTGGGGATGAGGACGGGGAAATCTCCGAGGGGTGGAAGGGCCAGGATTCTGCCTCCCACAGTCGTGAGAATCAAAATGAGATGTAAACTGTCAAGTCCGTGCTGAGGTAGGCTGTTAGTATTGTTGCACTATCTCTGTCCCAGGCACTGGGATAAAAAAGCAAGTGAGGCAGAGTCCTACCACTCACTTCAGGGATAAAGGGAGGGATGTCACAGGATTCCTTGAAGGCATATTTATACCATGAACAGGTGCACCAAACAGGTACCCTGCATGTTGCTTTCTCAAGGGAGAGCCCATGTGGGTCCCAAGGGTCTGGGATCTAAAGGTCCCAGCTCTGATACTGAACCTGGAAGCCCTTATTTCCACCCTCAGAGGAGGAAAAGAAGGAAAGAAAAGACAAAGCCCAGCTTTTCCAACTTACAATTTTGACCGGGGACCTTTAGAGAAAGATTTTTAATGGAAAGAAGGGCCTGGTCCCCATAACCCTCCCATAAGGGACTCCACGGCAAGACAGCTGGTATCTGCCAGGCCTCCCGCCCCACGTGGACCCTGCAGGACAGGGCACAGGAGGCTCAAAGGCTCTGAGTTTGGGAAATAGTGCATGCACGGAGAAGCCCAAGATTCCAAACAACTCCAGACTAGGTTTGCAGAATCTGAAAAACCTTGAAGATTTCCTCCAGACATGCGGGGCCACTCCAGCCTTGCTGACCTGCCCTTCCCAAGAGCCCCTGTGTCCTCCACACCCAGCAGCCTCAGAAGCCACAGGCCATAAGCACCCTGTTTCCATCCTGTGCCAACACTGCTTCGCTGAGCCTGGTCTCCTCTTGACCTGATCCTCTCAGCCCCTGATACTTCCAGGGAGGATGGGTCTCCCTATCCTTTCCAAGAATCCGGCTGCCCCATTCCTTCCCCTGGCTCCGGGACCCAATGAGAGACACTGGCGAACAGGCAGCACACTTCATCTTATCCAGAAAAGCCCAGGAAGGGGTAGCCCAGGTACCTTTGGGGAGCCCATGAGAATCCCTGAGACCACGGCCAGGAGCCAAAACCCTGACCCACAGAAAACTGCTGAGGTCACAGGGGGATAAAGGCAAAACTAAACAGGAAAAGCAAACAACTCCAGAGGGCGCTGAGTACATGGGGCTATTGCACTAAGAGGTGAAGGGTGCAGAAACACAGGAAGCCAGCATCCGCAGGGCTCACATTTCCTGGCTACTGCTGGGCGCTCAGGGCTGCTCTTTCAACCATGACTTCCCCTAGTGAGGGCTTAGGGTGGACATGAGTGCACATGCTTCAGAGTCCACCAGGGGAAGCAAACCCCGTGGGCCCCAGTAGATAGCTTTTAGGGCAAACAGGCCTAGTCCCAGCCCTGCCATTTACTAGCTCCATGAAATTTGGGTAAATTGCTTCAGTTCTCTAAGCCTTCGCTTGCTCATCTGCAAAATGGGCATATTCACTAGTCCTTTTCTCCTAGGGCTCCTGGTGGTACAAATAATAAGATAACACGGGCCAGGTGCAGGGGCTCATGCCTGTAATCCCAGCACCTTGGGAGGCTCAGGCGTGTGGATCACCTCAGGTCAGGAGTTTGAGACCAATCTGGCCAAGATGGCGAAACCCCATCTCTACTAAAAATATAAAATTTAGCTGGGCATGATGGTGGGTGCCTGTAATCCCCGCTACTCAGGATGGTGAAACCCCATCGCTACTAAAAATACAAAAATTAGCTGGGTGTGATGGCAGGTGCCTGTAATCTCAGCTACTCGGGAGGTTGAGGCAGGTATTATTATTATTTTTGAGATGGAATCTTGCTCTGTCACCCAGGCTAGAGTGCAGTGGTGTGATCTCGGCTCACTGCAACCTTCACCTCCCAGGTTCAAGCAATTCTCCTGCCTCAGCCTCCCCAATAGCTGGAATTACAGGCACCCACCAACACGCCCAACTAATTTTTGTATTTTTAGTAGAGACAGGGTTTCACCATGTTGGCCAAGCTGGACTTGAACTCCTGATCTCAGTGATCCACCCACCTTGGCCTCCCAAAGTGCTGGGATTACAGGTGTGAGCCACTGCGCCCACAATGACATGCCATTGGTTTTCTCCTTGCTTCCACAGAGACACAGACCCCTCTTCCTTCTGTCCATCATTCATTCAACAAGGACATCCTTGGCACTCACCCTGTGCCTGCCCGTGCTAAACCATGAGGTTTGGCAGCAAACACAACATCACCCTCCAAAAAACTCAAAAAGTCCCTGTCTCCATAGAGGCAATTGCTGGTGGAGAGACACACCTGCACACTCCTCTGCCCTCACAAGATTTCTGTGTTGGGGAAGCAAAAAGGGGGCTCTTTTTGCTCTGTTCCCATGTCAAGGGAAGGGGCCTCACCAGGAATCACGAACCAGGCACTGCCTCGCAAGGCTCCCCAGGAGGGACCCATGGAACATTCCACCAACTACTTAGATGCCACTCTCCTAGGAGCGCAGAGATCATCTCTGAGTGGGCAAAATTCTTATTTCAAAAAATGTACACATAGGCTTCAGATCATTCCTATGAAGCCAGCCACACTCTCTCACCAGGAACCAGGGCATGAGCTCCCGGAGACAGGGAAGGACGGTGGCCAAGCACCTGGCCTCGGTGTCAGAGGGGCCTTGGTCTCTGTTCTGAATGAGCATGTACTTATCTACCTGGAACCCTGGGCACATCACCTAACTCCTGGGGTCTCCAGGAGGGTGGCTTGAAGGAAGCGAGTGTGCTGGAACCCGGGTGGACGTGTGCTCTCCACCCTGTGTGCCAGCTCTGTGCCTCTGCTCAGGGACTTCCTCCGCAGGCACTCCCCCTGCCCCTCTGCCATCCTGAATGGTGAATTTCCACTCGCTTGCTGAGCCAGGACCTGGTCCAGAAGTCTCCCCTGACGGCCCCACCCCTGCTCCCCTCCAGACAGCATCCCAGCTTCCTGGGTGTCCGTCTCTGTCCCACTCTGATGCGTCTGCATCTCCCACCACAGTGAGTTTCTCCACAACTTCCGTCCTGGCCCACCCTGGAGAATTCAATCCCTTGGGAGACAGCAGCCGTCACGGTCCTTCCCAGCCCAGGTGCAGGACGAATGGCTGCTGATTCATTTCAAGTCCCTAATCAGGGAGGAGAGGCTGGCCCCTAATTCTGACCTTAATTACACAGTAGGAGGCTCAGCAGAAACCCCTCACCCAGTCCACCCACTCTGGACAGCAAATAAGCACATGTAAGAACTTCTCCTTCAGGGGCCTGGGCCTGCGAGCTTCATCTCTGAAACCTCCCACTGGGTGACACCTGCCTGAGAATTAGCCCCTCTTGCTCAGTTTGGTGCACCCCAGGAAGACAAAGGGAGACTCAAACATGCCTCCCCTTACCAGGGTAGTCAGGATTTAAACTCAGGGTCCCAGGAGCCTGGGCCATTCATTTGGAGTCTAGACCCCCCCACTGCTTAGGCAAGGAGGCTCTAAGCACCCGGTCCTGAGAGGCCTCAGCTCCCACCACGCCCAGCTGCCCAGTTACCCTTCCAATCCAGACCTGACTTGCAGAAGACAAAGAAGAACTGTGATAAAAAGCAAGTGCCTTGATGAGGCACCTACCATGAGGCCGGGGATCTTACCCAATGGCCCATTTCACAGATGAGAAAACCAAAGCCTAGGGGGACCTGACTGACATGAGGACCTGTGGCCAGTGTGGGGACCACAGACAAGATGCAGGCCCTCACCCCAACATCCAGGGTCCTGACCACTAGGCTACACTGCCTCTGACAGGTCCCAGGCACAGAGGGCAGGGTCCCTAACAGCAACTGTCATAGGAATGGGAATGGCATTAGCAAGACAAATGGCAACTGCAAAAACAATTCCAATGGGCTGCACCTTCCAACCCCAAACCCCCCCAACCTCCCCCAGTACACACACACACACACACACACACACACACACACACACACACACACTGAGCACCAGGCAGCCGTAGCTGCTCCAGGACAAACCCAACAGAAGGAGTGCTCTTACTGTTTCCCTTTCACCTGTGAACAGACTGACACTTGGAGAGTTCCTGTGACTCCTCCAAGGCCACACAGCTAGCGAGGGGCAGAGGCAGGGTTTGGAGCCACGCCTGTCTCCTGCTGTTTTCACAGGCTTGTGGGCAAAATAAATGAAAACGTACCATGAGTTTCAGGAACTGGCCTCTTCCCCCAGGCACAGGGCCTCGTTGAAACGCTTTCCTCCTTACCCAAAGACCAGTCAGGTCCTCTGGGCCTCAGCTCCATCCCATCTCCACCCCCTGACCAGTGTCTCCTCGTTTCCGACCGCCAAAGCAAAGGAGCAGGGTTCACTTACTCTGTGCTGGGTGGCGCAGCCACTGGATCTGGGTCTGCAGAAGAGCAGAGAGAGAGCCTGTCAGGCCAGAGGCTGGCCCCAAGCACTCAGCCCTTCCCCGCCCCTTTCCCAGCCTCCCCAGGGGCGCTGCAGACAGGGCCCAGCCAGCCTGGGTGCCTGCTGAGCCCCGCCTCCCTCCCCCAGTGCTGGCTCAGTCATCAGCTCCCCTACCTGGCCTGCACCACCCCCACCCACCCCATGGCCCACTTCCCAACTCCAGCCAGAACCCGGGGCAGCCACCCTGCCTGCTCTGGGCCTGCCCTCCACCCCCAGCTGCTCTGGGAGCTCACTGTCCCCAAGCCTGCAGGAAGTTCCAGCTGGTCTGGTCCCCAGGATAACAGAATATAAGAGCCCAGAAGCTGCCATTTAACACCAGCTTATCAGGGCCCTCTTGCCCCCCGGGGTTGCCAGCTCCCCAAGGCAGACAAGAGAGGGGACCTCTGGGAGGCTGCTCTTCTGGCTGGTATGGATTCTTTAAGAGAAGCTGCAGGGAGGACTTCAGAGTCATGAGCCCTGGGCAGCAACTGTCTCCAAAGCAAAACTCAGGCTAACTGCTTCCATTTACAATGTGCCAGAGTGCGCCAGATGTTGCAGGAATGCTAGGAATTTTGAACTCCCAAGGGAGGCAATAGACTATAGCTTCTTCCCAGTGGCTTTTCCCTTCATGCTTTCTGGGGACAGTGGAGGGAACACCAGGCATTCCTGGGAGCCTGGAGCTTCCGCCCAGTTCTTCATGCTCCCTGTAGCCCCAGGACCGGAAGTTCCCAGAAACATCTTACCAGTGACAGGGCTGGAGTCAAAGTGTATCAGTGGGGGGTCTGCGTCCCTCTTGGGAGCAAGGCTGGGGACGCCCAAGCCTGTGCTCGTGTCCTCTTCATCATCACTATCGTCAAACTCAAAGGCATCTCCTGGGTCGTCCTCTGCCTCGGAGGAGGGGCCTGGGGCTCCTGGAACCAGCTGATCTCCTGGAAGAGAGGAGGAGTTGGCCAAGCTGCAGGATCTTGGAGGTCTGGTCAACGGACAGGCAGCTGGGGTAGGTGGGCATGGGCTGGAACAGGGTGAGCACCTCGGGTCTGAGCTGGGGAATGAGAGCCATCAAACCCAAGCCAGATGGCCCTGCAGTGCCCAAAAGGCCGGGGAATGGGGTTGGGTTAGGTCTCTAAGCAAGTGGCAGTAGAGGGAGGGAAGCAAGTGTGCTCTTGGGGTGAGCCTGTGCACATCAGTACTTCAATGTATACCTTTCCTCTTATTTCCTATTGCCCTGTTTTGCAAGCAAGGTGGTCTTTTTAAATGCATGTGTATGAACACAAGCCTTCTTGTATGTTTCTGTGTTCATGTGTCTGTGTGCTTGTGTGTGCAAATGAGCACAGACAGGCGCATCCTTCTCGCTACACTTGATTTGGTACGTGCGGCGGCATGAAACACAGCTGCCTAGGAATGGCCAGGCTTGGAGGCAGCCAGCTCTCAGGTACTAGGGCACAGACTGGCTGGAGCAGAGGAAGGCACTGAGCTTCCAGCATGGAGGTCAGCTTGCTAGGCCTCATTCCCTGCTCTTCCCCTCCTGGGGGGCCCCCTTCCTGACAATGAACTCCTGTCCTCCTCACCCATAAAAGCTCAATTCAAGCAGAGAGGCCCTCCTTGCCTACCACCGGAGGCGGGGCCTCTCTTCTCTGCCCTGCCCCTTGTTTGTACCTCCCACCAAGCTCAAATCTCTGAGAGCAGACAACTCACAGGGGCTGTCCCCTCTACTGTCGGGTCCTGGACTGGTCCAGACTAGGAGCTCAGCCGCTTTTGTTGAACAAGTTAAAGAATGAATTCTCTATCCCAGACAGCACAAGCCCTCACCTTTCCAGCCATTTCACCACATGGAGGTTCCCCAATCCTCATCCTAGAAGATTTCCTTCCTTGCCGGCCGTGGTGGCTCATGCCTGTAATCCCAACACTTTGGGAGGCCGAGGTGGGCAGATCATGAGGTCAGGGGTCCAAGACTAGCCTGGCCAACATGGTGAAACCTTGTCTCTACTAGAGATACAAAAAATTAGCCAGATGTGGTGACACGCATCTGTAATCCCAGCTACTCGAGAGGCTGAGGCAGGAGAATCACTTGAACCTGGGAGGCAGAGGTTGCAGTGAGCTGAGATTGTACCACTGCACTCCAGCCTGGTGACAGAGTGAGACTCCATCANTTGAGACCAGCCTGACCAACGTGGCAAAACCCCATCTCTACTAAAAATACAAATATTAGCTGGGTTGGTGACACGCATCTGTAATCCCAGCTACTCGAGAGGCTGAGGCAGGAGAATCACTTGAACCTGGGCGGCAGAGGTTGCAGTGAGCTGAGATTGTACCACTGCACTCCAGCCTGGTGACAGAGTGAGACTCCATCACAAAAAAAAAAAAGACCTCCTTCCTAAACTCTGGGCTGAACAGAACTTCAGGAGTTCAGTCACTCCATCCCCTGCCTTATGCAAACCCACTGCAAAACCAGCTGGAAGGTTGGTTTTGTTTTAAACATCTGCCAAGCTGACCGCCCTAAGCAGTCCTGTCATGGCACATGCCGCACAGCTTAGAATGTGAGCTCTGCACTCACATGGCCCTGTCTGAGCTCCCCGCTAGCTGTGTGGTTCTGGGCAAGTCACTTTACCTCTCTGAACTTGGTTTCCTCTCCTGCAAAATGGAGAATAAAAACAGCACTTTCCCCATAAGGCTGACATGAACATCAACTGGGATGCAGGTTAGGGTTCTCAGCCTCAGAACTATTGACACTTGGACTGGATAATTCTTTTTCGGGATGGGGATGGGGGCTGTCCTGTGCGCTGTAGGACGGTTAGCAGCACCCCTGGCTTCTACACACTACAGGCCAGGGGGACCCTCCAGCTGTGACCACCAAAAATGTCTGCAGACATTGCCATATGTCCCCGGGGAGGGCAAAATCACCACTATCTGAGAAACACCGGGGTAGGTGCAGCCCTCAGCACAGCGCCTGTAGATGTAAGGATTATACAATACCAGCTGTTGGAATTACTCTTCCCCCCCAGCCTCAGAGCCTTGAGGACAAACCGGATTTTCTAGTCCATGGGTCTACGGACCCAGCCCCAGCAAGTGCTCAATAAACATTAGACAGATGGATGAGTGATGCGTGAGGAGGTAGCTGGAACAGAGATGAACAGACAGGCCAGCAGATGAACAGATGGACAGAAGGGCATATCTGATTCCAACAGTCTTTCAAACTAGAAAAATCTATTCACTCCCTGACAATGACCTGGAGGCTCCCAGAGCATAGTATTTTGGGGGCAGATGTAGGAAACCCCTTCTTCAGCTGCTTGACTGCAACGGAAGCCCAGGGCATACCCTCCCTTCCCCAAGGGAGAAGTGCCCAACTTCCTCCGAGGCCACGGAGGAGGAGACACAGCCGCGTCTCCTGGGGCTTTAGGGATCCCATAGGCCAGGACAGCAGGGGTGGACTCTGGGCAGCGATGTGGCCTGTAGTGTTAGCTCCTTCCCCAGGTGTCAAGAAACAAGTCCTGAGAGAACCTGAGCTATGCCCAGAGCAGCTTCCTGAGCCAGCCTCAGGATCATCTCCATTTACCCAAGACCCCAGAGACAAAGGCAAAGCAATGCCTGCAGTCAGCCGCTAAGCAGATGGGAATGAATTGTAACCCAGCTCCATTCACCTTTCACACACTTCTTCTACCTAAGCCTTGCCGGTTCCGGAAGCGCTGGAGCCCTCAGACGTTCTGCCCTGGGTGGTCAGGCTTGGGTGGAAGCTGGATCTGTGGCCTTCAGATTGCAGTTCCCAACCACCTGGTGGCTCATTAGTTCAATTAGGGGATTCCCCATCAGCTAAATAACACCAATCATTTGGTGTTTGGATTGATGTTTCAGATGTTCCTAAACATTGGCTGTATTCTAATATTAATAAAATCATATGGGTGTTCTTTTTGGTATAATACCAAATAAAATACATTTGGTATTGAATTATTTCAGATGTTTAAAAAGTAATGTATTGTTTATAATAATGTATTAGATAATACATTAAAATAATGTATTAAAAAATAATGTGATACTAATGAATTTACCTTGGTATAATTTCAATATTGGTTTTGACACTTTTGTTACAGCTATATACACATTGGGTAGGGGTGTGTGTGTGTGTGTGTGTGCGTGCGCACACACACAGGCAAGTGCATATGCACACAGAATTTTCTGTTCATCCCTTGCTCCCTCCACTCCAGCCACATTGATCTCCTTCCTGTACCACGAATGTGCCAGGTGTGCTCCTCCCTCAGGACCTCTGCACTTGTGGCCCCAGGGCCTGGAACGTTCCTCCCATGGGTAAATTCTCCGGCTCTCCCCTCTTTCAGGTCTTTACTGCTCAGCATCTCTCTGCACTCTGCCACAGAGCTCTGCTGAGACTCCCAGTTTGCCCGGTCTATTTTACCTGTCTCTACGGCTGCTGTCAGCATATGATGCTATGATGCTATTTGCGTTCCTGTCTGTCTCCTCTACTAGAATATAAGCTTCACAAGGGCATGTATTTTTGTCTGTTTTGTTTACTGTTACATCCTCAGCATTTAGTGCAATGTCCAGCATATGGTAGGTCCATGATAAGCATTTGTGAAACACACACACACATACACACACGCATCCCTGTTGTCGCATCTATAGGTGATAGTTTTAAAAGTTTAAAACATAGGCTGGGCACTGTGGCTCACACCTGTAATCCCAGCACTTTGGGAGGCTAGAGCAGAAAGATGGCTTCAGCTCCTAAACTTGTGACCAGCCCTGGTAACCTGGTGAGACCTCGTCTCTACTAAAAATGAGGAAATTAGCTGGGTGTGGTAGCATATGCCTGTAGTCCCAGCTACTTGGGAGGCTGAGATGGGAGGATCACTTGAACTCAGGAGTTCAAGGCTACAGTGAGCTGTGATTGTGCCACTGCACCCCAGCCTGGGTGACAAAGCGAGACTCTGTCTCAAAAAAATAAATAAAGGTAAAAATTTTTTAAATAATTTTTAAATCAGCTGGGCATGGTGGTATGTGGCTGCCGTCTCAGCTACTCAGGAGGCTGAGGCAGGAGGATGGCTTGAGCCCAGGAGTTCAAGGCTGCAGTGAGCCATGATCACACCTTTGTACTCCAGCCTGGGTAACACAGCAAGATCCTGTCTCAAAAAACAATTATTATTATTTTTTTATTTTTTTTTTTTTGAGACGGAGTTTTGCTCTTGTTACCCAGGCTGGAGTGCAATGGTGCGATCTCGGCTCACCGCAACTTCCGCCTCCTGGGTTCAGGCAATTCTCCTGCCTCAGCCTCCTGAGCAGCTGGGATTACAGGCACGCGCCACCATGCCCAGCTAATTTTTTGTAGCTTTAGTAGAGACGGGGTTTCACCATGTTGACCAGGATGGTCTTGATCTCTTGACCTCATGATCCACCCGCCTCGGCCTCCCAAAGTGCTGGGATTACAGGCTTGAGCCACCGCGCCCAGCTACAATTATTTTTAATACTGGAATAAATGACCACAAAGTCACCACCCACTATTTTAGGGGTACCAGCTATAGGCCCATCCTGACTTATACAGGGCTTTCTTAGCCTCTCAGTGCCCCGGTCCTTACCCAAGTGAATCTGCTGGGCAGGGAGTAGGCGTGGGGGTCTCCCTTAATACGTGGATGGTGTCACTGCCATGAGTAAGGTTTTAGAGTCAGACCACCTGGGTTCAGCTAAGACTCCAGCTCGCCCAGGTACCAGCTGGATGGGTGTCAGGTTGTCTGACCCCTCCCAGTTTCCTTGTCTGTAAAATGAGGACAATAACAGCAACTACCTCCTGGGGTTGTTGGGAGGATGGACTGAATGAATATAAAGCACCTGGCACAGGGTGCGTGCTCACCAAATGTTAACTATTCTTCCGATGACGATCGTGCCTGTTATTGTCACCATCGCTACATCATGACTGTCATTCATTACCACCATTATCACTGTTATTATGATGATTACAGCCTTGTCATGGCCCAGTCCCTGCTGCTGGGTGAGAAGGGCAGTCCTCTCCAACTCCCAGGCCAGGCCCGGCCTCAGGCAACCCTGTCCCGAGCCACGTCCAGGGGCTCAGGCCACTTCTACGTCTCCTTTTTTGTTGTTGTTTTGAAATGAGGCTCACTCTGTCACTCAGGCTGGAGGGCAGTGGCGCGATCATGGCTCACTGCAGCCTTGACCTCCTGGGCTCAAATGATCCTCCTACCTCAGCCTCCCAGGTAGCTGAGACTACAGGCATGCGCCACCACACACAGCTAATTTTTTTTTTTTTTTTTTTGCATTTTTTGTAGAGAGACCAGTTTTACTGTGTTGTCCGAACTTGGCTTCAAACTCCTGAGCTCAAGCGACACTTCCCAAAGTGCTAAGATTACAGGCATGAGCCACCCTGCCTGGCCTACACCTCCTCCCTTTGAGAGTACAAATAGCTTCAGTGAGCAGCTCCCAGCCTCCAGTGCGCAGGGAGGGAGAAGGAGAGGTAAGACACAGTCCCAGGGGAGGCGGGTGGAGGGGGACTGTGGGCACCCCTCTGGAGCTCACTTTGCGGCTGGTGGGGCGGAGCCGGCAGGAGAAAAACCTAAAATCTCAGAGACTGAAACGGCACCAAGAGAAAGGAGCTAGGACTCTCTGGGGCTTCAGAAAGGGCTTCGAGGATGAGGCTGCCCTTGCACTGAGCCTTGAAGGATGAGAAAAGGCCTGACAGGCTCCCACGAGAGCGTGGATTCCAGGCTGAGGCCACAGCCGGGACAGAGAACAAACACCAGGTGGCCCAGGGGTGCTGAGACACCAGCAAGGATGAAGGTGCTGACAAGGTGAGTGGGGGAATCTCCCACTCAGGAATTTGAATTTAATGGGAAGACAAAGGGAAGCTCTCAGAGAATGAGAAAATGCCAAAGAGCTGGCTTCACCCAGATGATACCAGCCAGTAATATTAGAAAGAGCGGGAACAATAAATGTTTGTCAAGCGTTTGCTGAACAGAACAGAATTGACCTAGTCATTAAAATTTTTTGTTCTCACTCCTCATGTTCAGGTTCAGCCCTCTTGGTGGGGAGGAGAAAGAAAGCAGGTGCCCATGGCAGCAGGGGTGGGAAGGGGCAGGGCCATGCAGGGACCTAAGTCCCAGTTGGGAATCAGGAGATGAGATGTGCTTGTCCCCAAGGCCACCTTCTACCTTCCCCCCAGGCAATCAGATATTGCTCCTTACCAGAAGGAAAATTCAGGAGGCCCATCCCAGCACAACTGAGAGCTCAACAGAGCCCTTCCTAACCACCTGCACAGGTGGCACAACCAGAGCTAGTCCCTCATGCCTCTCGGGTTCCTGGACACACCCGGTCCTTACAAGAACCAATGCAAGCCAGTCCCGGAGGTGGGGGACCCTGGGAAGCCACTCATCACCACAGAGAAGACAGGTCTGCTGTGCTGCTTCCCACCCCCCAGAAGAACCCCAAGGCTCAGGAAGGAGGAGATGTGTCATTTCGCTCTCCCAGGCGTGCAGGGCATGGCGCACACTGTCTGTCCTGCCAACACCCACAATGATAAGCACTCCCATCCGTGAGCAATTGATTACCCCATGCCCATGCCTGGCATATATTTAAACCTTGCAACAGTCTGGGAGAGGGTGTTATTGTCACCATGTTTACTGATGGTGAAACTAAGCCACAGAGACACCACGTCACTTAAGACCACAGTCTAAGTGGCAGGGTCAGGATTCAAACTCAGATGGGGCTAGTGACACAGCCCTCACTCATTGCCCTCTGCAATTCTGCCCCTCTCATATTGGGGCAAGAGGGCAGGAAGCTGCAGCCGCGGGTGAAACAGCCCTGGGCCCGGTTCCTCTCAGGCGGAGCCTAGATTCCACCTGCAGCATCTGAGGCCCCAGTGCCAGGGTTGCCAAATAAAATACAAGACTCAGATATGAATTTCAGATAAGCAACGAATACCTTTGTTAGTATAAGTATGTATTTTTCTTTCTTTTTTTTTTTTTTTGTTTTTTTGAGACAGAGTCTTGCTCTGTCACCCAGGCTGGAATACAGTGATGTGATCTCGGCTGACTGCAACCTCTATCTCCCAGGTTTAAGCATTTCTCCTGCCTCAGCCTCCTGAGTAGCTGAGATTACAGGTACCACACCGTATCTGGCTAATTTTTGTATTTTTGAAGGGATTTCACCATGTTGGCCAGGCTGGTCTCGAACTCGTGACCTCAAGTGATCTGCCTGCCTCGGCCTCCCAAAGTGCTGGGATTACAGGCATGAGACACCATGCCCAGCTATATTTTTCCTTTATTTTCTCTTTCTTCCACTAAATGTGGCAACTCTGCCCCTGTTCAATGGGCTGACCTTATGGCGCAACCCTTTCCCTCAACCTCCGTTCCTCACCCCTGATTTATAAGCTTCAGCCTGAGACCTCCGTGTCTTCCCATCTCAGGGGGATCTCGGGGAGACAGGAAGAGGATTGACCCTTGCCCAGAGCCTCCTCTGTGAGCAGAAAGTTACTTCTATTTTGTAGACAAGGAATGTGAGGCAGAAGATGCGGCCCAGGCAGGGCCAGTGGCCAGCAGAGCGGGCTTCCCACATGGGGCCACCTTGCTCCAGAGCAAGGCCTTCCGCCAGTCCCTACAGCCCCCTTATAAGAAGCGTCGAGAAGAACAGGAAGCTCTGGGCACGGTACCTATGGCAGGCTGTGGAGGAGAGTTGGAGGAAGCCATCAGACAAGGTCCAGCTCAGAGCAGCACCGTCCCAGCCGCACGCCTGTGGAAAGAAGACCAGGAACCTCATCAGCTGGAGTCAGGGCTGCAGTTTCCACAACTGAAACCAGTCACTGGCCCACAACCTGTGCTTCAACCCGGCAGCTCTCAGAGCGCAGGGCAGCCCCAGAAAGGCCCCAGCCTCCACCCATCGTAAATCATTAACCCACAGAAACACCAGCAGCTGTGCAGTCCACTCCCTCTTCCCAGAAACCCTGCAGCCACAGACCTTCCTGTTGCCAGTGCCAAGGGACCTGCAGGCACCTGCTAGGTGTCCCTCCTCATCCCCTCTGGCTTATAGGTGAAGCTCTGGCCCCAGAGTCCCAGGTTGTGCAAAGTCCCCCACCTTCCAGGAATCGGATCACGCCTGTCATGGAGGGGGCTGGACACTTCCTCCTCCTGGCTGCCCAGGAAGCACAGGCTCCCTCAGGTCTGCCACTTCTGCCAGTCCCTTCCTGTGGCCCTGCTGAAGGCCACTCTCACTCTGCCTCTCCCTGTCCCGCCCCACAGGCTGACCAGCAGGCAAGGGGTAACCTGGCCTTTGCACATGGGTGTGAGGAAGGCAATGGCTACAGAGGCTAATGGCACAAGGCAGGAACAGAATCCAGAATGCTCAGCGAAGGGGCACTGTTCCTCCTGCCCCAAGGTGGCACCGCCCTCTCCTCTCAGTGGAAGCTCACACAACCAAGAGGCCAGTGCAGTACCTCCAGGGGGCTTCCTGGGCCCTGGAGCCAACCCTGCCCCCCTCCCTACTGTCCCCTTCAATTCTGTGCTGGGGGCTGTCCTCCTAGACATTCCTGTGGAGAAGGGAACACACCCTGGAGAGAAAGCACCCAGCCATCTAGTCTAATCCACCCAGGCCACAAACTGCTGTGTTCCTGTTTTCCTTTCCATTCCTAAAGGCTTTATTTTTATTAAACTGGCTTACTGAACAAAAGTGAAATGCAGGTTCATGACAATATTAGTAACAGTAGATATTCTTGCATTGCCAACGACATCTCAGACGTAATTGTAAGCACTTTACAAATATTAACCTCTTTTCGTCCAAATTATAAATGAGAAAATGAGACCCAGAATGGTTAAATAACCTGCCAAAGATCACACAGCTAGGAAGAGCCAGGGTTCGAACCCAGGCCACAGGGCTCTGGAGTGTGTGTTCAGAAGCAGCCACTACACTCTAGCACCTTTCAAGACTCAAACAATAAGACAGGTAGATGATGAAAAGTTAGCCTCCAGGCTGGGCAAGGTGACCCACGCCTGTAATCTCAGCACTTTGGGAGGCTGAAGTGGGTGGATCACTTGAGGTCAGGAGTTTGAGACCAGACTGGCCAACATGGTGAAACCCCATCTCTACTAAAAATACAAAAACTAGCTGGGCGTGCTGGCACACACCTTTAATCCCAGCTACTCAGGAGGCTAAGGCAGGAGAATTGCTTGAACGTGGGAGGCAGAGATTGTGGTGAGCCAGGACCGTGCCACTGCACTCCAGCCTGGGAGACAGAGCGAGACTCCGTGTCTCGTGTGTGACTGCCTTGTAGACCCACACAGAAAACTCTCAGAACTAAACTGTTACTTCAGCAAAGGGTTTTGGAAAGCAAACTAATATGTCTGCAAACCCCTTTTCAAATTGAAATATCAAACAGCTGCACAGCAGCCCCGCTGCAGGGCCCCCGCCCAGTGGGCTCATTCAAAACCGCTGAGGTCTGCTCGGCCTTTCTCTGAGGGCTCTGGTGCCCCAAGAGCTCCAGGAGGGACGCGGCAGAAAGACCTATACCTATTTTACAGAAGGCAAAATGGAAGCATGTTGCTCAGCCTCCTGTCCCAGTTGTTCCTTAAATACAATTTGATGATGATATGGAAAGAGGCTGCTACTTTACCTTGGGGCCAAAACCCAGGAGATCCTTCCCTCCCAGGGCAGAAAGTCCAATGTCCTCCCCTTTCTTCTCCCTCCTGGGCTGATTCTTGCCCTCCCCTCCAAGCCCAAGGCTTTCCCTAGGAAGGAAGAGAGCCAACAGGTATGGAACCTGACACTTTATTAACATTGTTCCATCTAATTCTCATAGCACCCCCGCTTACAGATGAGCAAACAGAGGCTCAAAGAAGCAAATATTTGCCCCAGGTCACAGGAGGAGGTGACCACACTGGGATTCCAGCCAGAGAGCGCTGACCCTAAAGCCTAATCTCAATCCTCTGATCACACTGCCTCCCTAGCCTTCAGGCTAGAATCTGGGAAGTGTCCGCTACAGGTTAATGCAGGGCTCTGAAGTGACAGGACAAGGACACAGGCCAGCGAGCTCTGCCCAAAGGCCTATGACCACCATTTTATACCCACAGTCCACTAGTCTCAGAAGGATGTGGGCAAGGGAGTGGGATGGCTCACGGCAGCCCACTGCCACCACTACAGATCCTCATGGGGTTCAGCAAGAGTTCAGGCTACCCGATACCACCTGCATTCCACTCAGCAGCTATGAGATCTTGGTAAGTTACTCCATCCTACCTCTGGGCCTCAGTTTACTCATCTGCAAAGTAGGGATTGAAAAGTACCCACTTCAGGCTAGTCATGATGGTTCATGCCTGTAATCCCAGCACTTTGGGAGGCCAGGACAGGCAGATCACTTGAGGTCAGGAGTTCGAAAGCAGCCTGGTCAACATGGCAAACCCCATCTCTATTAAAAATACAAAAAATTAGCCGGGCGTGGTGGTGCACATCTGTAGTCCCAGCATCTTGAGAAGCTGACGCAGGAGAATCACCTGAACCTAGGAGGTGGAGGTTGCAGTGAGCCAAGATGGCACCACTATCACTCCAGCCGGGGTGACACAGCAAGACTCTGTCTAAAAGTGAATGAATGAATGAATGAATAAATACAAACCATTCTCATCTTTAAAAAGATAACTAATAAAAAAGCCTCATGGCATGTCAGAACCAGAAAGTAGCTCCATGATGGTGGTATTGCTCTTGCTTTACAGATGTGGAAACTGAGTCCGAAGGAGGAGGGCACCACCCACAGCACTGTCATTCTCCAGGCAGTGACAGTGAAGGCCATGGTTAGAGGATAGGATTTGGTGCCAGGACAATTCAGCTTCAAATGCCAGCTTTGCCACTTGCCACAGCAGCAATTAATTCCTTTCTCACTGGGACGGCGGGAGTAAGACCAATACCTGCCTCCTGCGCATCCCATGCTGATGAAATGAGAACCCCGCGATGGGTGTGATGAATTCTGCTGTTCCCTGCACAGAATAAGCTCTGGGTAGACAGGGGCCTCTGTTGCCATGAGCACCCTATCCGGGCCATGCTTGGGCGACGGGGTTATAGGAGATTGTCGTTTCTCGGTGGTCACCTTTTTAACAATGACCACCAAGCCCGAAGGGACAGGTGGACACTGAACAGTTCCCCTTCCTGTGTGGAATGGCTGAGGAGGCGGCAGTGCTCAGACAAGGGAGGACAAGAGAGGAAAAAAAGAGGCCCTCATCTCCTGGCTTCAGAGTGTGCCCACCAGAGGCCTGGCGCAGGTCAGGCTCAGTGACGGGAACACGCAGAGCAGCCCGGCATTCGCACCTCCCACCGCCCTCAGCTGCCCAGCTCATCACAGCAGGTATCTTCTTGGCTTGGCTAATTTAGTCAAAGTGCTTATCAGTTTTCCCTCCCTCTAGGGTTCAAAGTCCATCTGCCCAGGAGCCCCAATAGGAAACCCTTCTCCTGTCTGCCCCTGTCCCATGGGGGGCCTCCCAAGACCATCTCCCACCCCCCACCCATCAAGTGGCCCCATCCCTCTTCCACCTGAATGAACCCTGGAGGAAGAAAACACCTGGGGGCCCTGGAAGACTGCACAATCCCCTGTGCCTTGAGGACAGGGAAGGAAGGCCGGCCTCTCTTTTCAACAAGGTCCAGGCGGAAGCGGGGGAAGCCGCAAGCTGGGCTGCTGGGCTGAGCGGGGCAGCAACCACCCAGCCCTGCCCAGAGAGAAACAAGGAATTGGTTCTGGTACAGGCACCTTTGTCAAGCTCTGGCCTCGGAGACCCTCTGCAGGTCCACCTCCAGAAGCAGAAGGAAGGTGGAGAATGGGGGGAAGGACCAGGTGCTTGGGCTGGTCAGCACCGGAGTTCTTCCATGTGTCCGTGTTCTCCAAGAGGTCTCTCTGGCTTTCAGCTCTCATTAGATACATGCTAGGCGACCCACCTGCCACCTCTACTGCCAAAGAGACCACTCCACAAAAACACCTGCCACATCACCCTGTTGCTTCCAACCCTTCCCTATCACTCTCAGAATAGAGCCTGGGTCCTAAGCAAGGCCTTCCAAGATTCGCCCCCTCCACTGACCTCTCAGGTCTCAGCAGCTCCGGGCCTGGCCTGGAACTCTGCTCCGGCTCTCACCAATGGCTTTCAGCCCCATGACCGCGCCACCCGACCTGTTTCACATCTCTGGGCCTTTGCTTACGCTGTTTGTTCCCTCCACGTGGAATTCTCTCTCACAACCAGCAAGCAAACACCTATTCAATCGTCAGAACCCAGACCCTGTTTCTCCTCTACAAATCTTCCTTAGACCCGTTTCACAAAGTAGTTTCCAGTGGTGAAGCTTTTTAAAAATACTTACATCCCAGGCCCACACTCGGAGATTCTGATTCTGTGGCTCAGAGGTGCAGCTGGTAGGGGCCAACAGGCTATTTTCAAAGAGCACAGGTGGTGCTGGGACACGTACACGCCTGCAGACACAGCCCCATTATAGCTGTTGCCCTCCCCGAGGGCCTGTGACCTCTCTGAGGGCACTGGGCTTCTTTCCATCTCAGCATGGGTAGCACTGGGTCTGGCCCGGGGTACACTAGATAACAGCTATGACCTGAACAGGGATTCTGAAAACCTTCCCCTGCTTGGGACCCACCTACCATGGAGCCAAAGGGCATAGACCAGGAACCCATGAAGCTGGGACATCCCTGGACCTGGGGAGCTGCTGGTGTGGGGCTTCAGTCCAGAGGAGGGGAGAACAGATGGAAGGTGAGGTATAAGCCC